AAGTGATTGGTGCTCAAGTATGACTCACATTCGATAACAGTGAAACCAAATCAGATTACAACATTGACGTGGAATCGACCAGCTGGTCGAACAAGTCGCCCGACCAGTGGCAGGCAGCCGAGGTGGCAGAGTGGATCCGCGACTGGGCACGTCAGAATGAGATTCAGGACATCGAGGTGGCCCACCTGCTGTACAATCAGATGCCCGGCTCTGACCTGTGTCAGATGCAGCGAGAGTACTTCACCTCCGTCTGTCCGCAGTACGGCAACCTCATCTTCGACTCGCTGCAGCAGCTGGTGCACCAGTACCGATCCTCGGGCAGCCACAGCCACAGTCACCACAGCTACGGCATGAACAGCTACAGCATGCACGGCAGTCCGACGACCATGCTGGCACAAGCGGTGGTCTCCTCCAGTGTCGTCCACCTGAACGGCAGTGGCAACAGTGGTTCTTCGCATTCTCACTCGCCGGACGAAGCCCACTCGACGATGACACTGAACGGACACAGCCAGACGACGGCCATGGTCACGGGCAGTGATTTGGGCCATCACCAGCAGCAGCAGCAGGACCATCACAATCACCATCACCATCAGCCGCACCAGCAGCACCACCACCAGTCGATGGACTTTTTCCCGAGCATGTCCAGCCTTGATGCGCTGCCATCGAGTGCACTTCTCTTTGACGCACAGTCTGCTCACCTCAACTATAGTCCCAGCTACACTAGTGGTAAGTTATGCTGTGCACTGTGTGCACCGATCTCTCTCTCTCCTTTTTTTTCACGGCCATAGATTATGTGTTCTGTCTCGCAAATCTCATCAACTCGTTGCTCATTTGCTCTCTCTCTCTCTCTCTCTCTTCTCCTTTTCCTACTACAGTGTCAGACTCTGACCGGGAAAGTACCAGCAGCAATCTAAGTGGCGTCAACGAGCGAAGAATGCACATCAACTCATCGTACTACACTCAACAGAGCTGCAGCCAGCTCAATCCAGACGTCGCAGAGTCGGTCGCCGCCACGGCATCAACTCGACCAGCGACAGCAGCATTGGCGGCGGCAATAGTGACCACCAAGGGCAACGGCAATGGCAACCACTCTTCAATGTCGGTGTCAGCTTCAAAACGAAATGGCCGCCGAGGAAGGCCGCCGAAGAAGGAGTCCAAGTCTAGAAGTAAATTAGCTAAATTAACATTTTTCAATTTTGTTTAAAATCCGTATCTTTATTATCTGTTCCGCCTTTACAGGTAAAGGCAACGGAAAGCTCTGGGAGTTTATCCGAGACCTGTTGCTCAATCCAGTGACCAACCCGAGTCTGATCAGATGGGAGCGCAGAGAAGATGGCGTCTTCAAGTTCATTCAGTCAGACAAGGTGGCCAAGATGTGGGGCGAGAGGAAGCAAAACCCTCGAATGACCTATGAGAAGCTGAGTCGGGCAATGAGGTACTACTACCCCACAACTATGCCTAATAATCAGGCCTAACTTCAACTTTCTATTTTCCCCTTTTCTGTAGATACTACTACAAGTCTCAGGTGCTGTTGCCAGTCTTCGGCCGTCGATTGGTGTACAAGTTTGGCCCGAATGCGACCGGCTGGCGGCCTCAGTACGACATGCCCAAGCCACCTGGCTTCAGTGGCTAACGAAGCAGCGATTGTCCGAGGCCTAGCACTCACTACTATTCTCTGAACAATGAGCACTGGGACACCACCAGTGTCTGCAATATACACACTCACTACAATCGAATCTGTTTAGTACAGTTCAGCTCCGTACTGCACCGAAACCCGCCTACAGCATCGCCAGGAGCGCATACTCGTGCGGTGCCTCATCACTTCTCTCTCACACTCTTCGGGGTAATAGTGGCGCTCAGTTGATGTGTCGTCCGAATTGTCACCACCAAACATGCTGACTACTTTTTTCCTTTCTTCCTCCACTCTTGCAAGCTCACCCCAAATCTTCACTCACAGTCTTGCTCACCACCAAAGGCACCCTTCTAATAAAGCACACACAAACATATCACTAGCTCTCTCTCTCTCTCTCTCTCTCTCTCGAATTATCTACTCAACTTTTGTTCGGTTCTATTTATTCGACCCCATTAGCCTTTCTCTACTCTCATGTCCAGAATACTAATAACTTATTACTGATTACTTTGTCTCNCCCTTCTAATAAAGCACACACAAACATATCACTAGCTCTCTCTCTCTCTCGAATGATCTACTCAACTTTTGTTCGGTTCTATTTATTCGACCCCATTAGCCTTTCTCTACTCTCATGTCCAGAATACTAATAACTTATTACTGATTACTTTGTCTCATTCTCTTCTTTATACTCTTTCTCTCAATTCTTTCCTCTCTCTCTCTCTCTTTCTCCCAGTGGCAATCACAGAAGAGGCCTTCCCCTCTTTTTTTCTCTCTCCCCTTATTCGATGCATAATTTATTATTATCAACTTAAACACTGACACACACACAACAATGACTGCTCATTCAAATGCAATTATAAAAGTGAACCCATTCACAAGAGAAAAGGCGAAAAGCGTATAATGGTGAGCAGTGAAAGTTTTGTCTCTTTAAAAATTAGCCGCCACTTTGTGGCATCGGTAGATGAGGAGAAAGGTTCTAAAATTAACAGTTCGCCGTTGGAGATCGATTCGATCAAAAGCGGTAGTGTTTCGCTGCCAGTGGCATTCGAAGCGACTACTGGGGGATGATGATGCTGCTGTTGGCACTGCAGTGGTTGCCTTGCTAGCTGCAGCAGTAGAAGCCAATTGGCAAGTGTGCCCACGACCACCGCCACTACCAACAGCGGTACATTGCCTCAAGTAGAGATGCTTTTGCTGAGGTTCGAGCACGAGATAGATCAATGAGAACGACTCAAATTGATCGACTGAAAACTGGGGCTCTTTGTTGTAGTAGACGCCGTCTTGCTGGAGAAAGCGCGTAAAGCCGCTCTGCGCTGCCAGGTTCGAAACGTAAACGGACACGTCTTTGGGGCTGTACTGGGCTGCATCCAAATCCCTGCGAATGGCTTCATTGACGGCGTTCAGTGATTCGCCGCCCGGATAATTGTTGGCAGAGACGTAAAACATAAACATCGAGAGCACCAAGTTTACCAGCAAATGGAGCACCATCAGCGTGTCAAGCGAAAGTGGCGACCTAAAGTAGACAAACACACACAAACATACACACAACAGCATGCTTGCTAAAGAATTTCAAATTCCTAGAAAAAAGTCCCCTTACCATGTAACAAACAATTTTGCAAGAATGTGGGAATTGGTGGCGCTCTTGGTTGAGCCTGTTAAATCTGTAGAATCCGCATCAACTTCAGTTTTCTTTCTGTTTCGTAAATTGTATCGTTTTGTTTCAACGTAGCTGGATTTCTACAGAAAAAAATTAGCAATAAACAAAAACAAAGTAAAATAAACACTAAAGAGGGCAATTACCTTGCCACTGTCGCTTTCTTGAGATAACTTGCAGAAAAGTTGAAGTAATTTGACAATAACATTAGAAGCGCATAGATTCAACAGTGGAAGGACGTAAACGACAAATCGAAGTTCTTTGTGTGGCAAGATGGAGTAAATCAAAACAAAAAGCAATCCCACAAAGGCGTACTTGTTCTTATAGAATGAGGGCATCAGTGCAAACATTGTCGAAAAAAGAAGCATTCGAGGGAGAACCGAATAAAAGTACCAGAAAAACGGCTGAGTGCCCCACTCATTTGACTTGTTGTGCACTATGTTGAAGAGTATTCCGTCTCCTGTAAAAAAGTATCATGTGAAAAAATCGATCGCAATGCAATAAAAAGTAATCGCACCTTCAGGCCACATCCATTTGCCCCACATAAACGAATCAAATCCAACTGTAAATGCCAACGATAAGAGTCCGCTAGGAATTCCAACTTTGAGTGTTTTTAAAACTGATAGTTGGCGAGTGTAGAAAACTTCCACTAAAAGGATACACCCAAAAAGAAGAATGGTTTCAAATCGAAGCACCACCACGGTAAAGGCAATTAGAGAGATCATTTGAGACCAGCGTTTGGTGAGCCAAGCAGAGTAGACTAACATTACTGAGATCAAGGCAAAGGTATTGGGCAGTGTCCGAGAAGAGTAGAAGAGAAAGTGAAACTGGCTCAAAGTGAGCCATGTTACCCACTGGCTAACCGAAGTTCCGTGTACTTTGGCAATTGCCTTGTTCAACTGATGATATGCATACGTGAAAATGCCCGCTAAACAGACACGAGAAAGTACTTGATAGAAAAACTTATTTGGCAAAATGTTCAAGAGCTGAAGTGGCTTTGTCAGAAAGGCAATAACAAACGGCCCAAAAAATGTCCGATGCACAACGCCTGGAGCAATAAAATGTAAATCGAGTTAGAAATGTAATAAAAAAAATATGCAATAAAGTGCACTCACCTGGAAAGAACTCGTGATCCCACGACAGACTGGTAGAGCTATGGTTCGTCTGACTAGAACCGCTTTGCAAAAAATGCACCAACTTTGTTGGAAAAGAACGAACATCGCTGAGAAACAGATAATCATGCACTGCTTGCATGGAAAATGATTCTTCCACTTTGGTGTAGGGAGCGAAGGCCAAGTAGAGGACGCTGGCGATGAAGAGCAGGCCGCTTTGAGCGGATGCCGAGCAAAGTCGAGGTGAAATGGCCATGCTGTGGGCTGTTACCTTTGGCGTTCTTCAGTCAGACTGACACACCTGGAACAGTTCCCAGTTGACATGAGCAAAGCAATGAGGGAATCCGGTGGAGTCAATCACCTGCTGTACGGCACGTGTTGACGAGGAGGAGAACACAAATGTACACAAATCGCCACTATTTCAGTCACTGTTGCCGCTCGCCAGCGCGGCCACGTCAAAATAGCGAACTTTTGCTGGCAAACTTAATTTTGGACCAAATTCCAGAATATTTCATTTTTAAACGTGTCATTTATTTAAAATAAAGCGGAATCACTTTTTGGTAACAATAGTTTGTACTGAACGTTCATGGTGAGTAATGACTTTCTACTTGCGGTACTTGGAGTAGGACTTTTCCAGGCTCTTCAATTCAATCTCAGTAACGGCATCCTCTTCAGTCTGAACAGGCATGGTGAGGCCCAGGTCAATCCACTTAATTGCGTCAGCGTATCGTTTAAGAGCAATAAAAGTTTTGCCAAGCCAGAGGTGGTTGGTTTTCCACTCGTGCTTCAAGCTGTCAGCTTTCTCCAGCGATTCCAGAGCTTCTTCATAAGTGGCCTTTGGCGGCTCGGAGAAGAGAGCTGATGCAAGTTTACGTTCGATGAAAGACAGCGAAGCCACCTCGTAGCACCATCGACCGAACATGTGATGGAGGAGCTTATCAGTCGAATCAATGGCAACGGCAATATCACGATGCTCCTTGAACTCATGGCCGAACTTGATGCGTTCCTTCGTTCCAACCAAAGGAGCCATTCGACCGACTGCAGCGCAATACCTACAATACGGTAAGTGAAAGATGATCACATGATGCCAATTAACGTGAACCAGAAGTCCAAGTGCATGGAAGGAAAAACTTACCATTTGTGAGCATTCAACGACTCGGGACCCAGTTCGACTGCCTTTTGGGCGTACTTGAATGCCTCCTCGGTGAACTTCTTCGCCTCGCCCTTGTTGTTCACCTTTTCGAAGCTGTCAGCCATGACGAGACAGGCCTGGACTAGACGCCAGGTCACCTCCAGATTGGACTCATCTTCCTTCAGCTTATCCAGCAAGGCCTGATACAGCTCCTTCTTGTCTTTGCTGGCATCGTCAATGTCCACGTCCCAGGCGGCCAGAAACTGCTCCATCTTTTCGGGGATTTTTGGTGGAATACCGAAGCGTCCAAAGACCGGTGACAGTTAGTTGGTAGGTTTGCAAAGTCTGGCAGAGCGAGCAGCAGCAGTGCAGACGAGGAGGCAAGTTGATGCGAGTGGCAGTGTTTCAGTGCGGCTAAAGCCTAAATGCCAGATGAATCAGCCGAGTACACAGTGTGCACAACTGCGTTCAGTAGAGCGACGTTTGCTGTGGGTTCAATTCTGTCAGTGGCTGACAGCAGCGGGACGATAGCAACTATCTTGTCTTGCTCTCTCCCCTCGTCTTGCCGTACAAAGTCTCTCTCTCCTTCTCCTTCTCTTGAGAAAACTGATATACACTTTGGGGGAGAGAGAAAGACGCACTTGGCAGTCGGCGACGATAGGAGGATGTTGTGGTGGCGTGGCCAGTATATGGCGAATGAATGTTCACTCTCTGGTATTGCCTGCTGCTGCTGCTGCTGGCGGTGGTGCCACTGCTGCTGCTGCCACTGGCCAAGTGGCCACTTGTCTCCTCTTGCAGGCGCAAGTAGATGCAAGCATGCGGCACGTCTGTTATGTTCTTTCTCTTGGTTGCCGCCGCCGATGCTGCTGCTGTTGCAGTTGGTAGTCGAGCATACTGTACTTGCTAAGCACTAATCACCAATCACCAGTCACTGTGCGTCGACACTGACTGGTTGGCCACTGTTTCACTGATTAGTTCACTGGCTGCTGCTTGCTCTTGATGATGATTACCATTACGTTGATGTTGTTGTTGTCGTTATTGCCATTGGTCGTTGGTGCAAGTTGCTGGAACAGTCAGTGCATAGAGTAGAGTAGCCTCGCTCGAGTAAAGTGGCCCTCAGTGACACTTCAACAACTGCACAACTTCAGACTTTAACAGAAACTTCGCTCTCTCGTTCTCTCCCTCCCTGGCTCACCGAACTGTACACTTTACTGACTGCTCAACTACTGCATACAGCCTGTGAGCATGAGAGAGAGAAAAGAAAGACCGACAGACTCTGACTGGCTGACTCTGGCAATCGACCGGGGCAGCTCGCATAGACTTGCATAGACTCACTGGCTCTGTCATCCAGAGACGAATTTCCACACACAGAGTAGAAGAAAGAAAGAAAGAGAGAGAATAAAGAGGGAAAGATTGAGGGAGAGAGGGAGAGGGGCGCGCGGTGCACTAATTTCGTCTTCGATCAATGTCAGTGTCTGCAGACAGTCAACAGTGCTCTCAGCATTGTCTTGGGAGGCATTGGGTGAAAGTGGTCGGACAAGTTGATCTGCACTTCTACTCCATCACTCTCCTGACCTGCATATACCTACCACTAATTGCAATTAGCCGGCAGAGCCGACAGGCCCCGAAGTGTAGGGCACCACTCTCAGTCTCCCTACTGTCGGCGGATGAGGGCGAATATTTCGGTGCCGCTGACAGACTCTCTTTCTCTTTTGTGCAGCACTCTAGTAAAGCCAGTGATTCATTTGCCGTATCTACTCTACTGCCTTGGCGTTAGTCTGTGCCAGCAGCACTGCCACCGCCGACCGACTCACTCGAATGGAGCAATTAGGTGTCTAACGAGTTCTCCAGTGCTCACTTCCTCTGCTGACTTCAGCGAGCAGCAATGCACCAGCACCGACCGACAGACACTGCCGTTGATTGTCGCTGCAGGAAATGGACAGTGCCGCCGACTTGCCTCGCCTTGCCTTGCCGTCCCCTTCCTTGCTCGCAGCCCATGTCGTACAAGTGTCTGCAACAGCAGGCAGCTCTCTGTACGACACTGTCTGTTGTCTGTTGCCTGTGTCCAATAAACAAACGGTAAAAGCACTCATAAATCAATGGTCCACTGGATGGCCATTATTGTTTGCTTGTTTGTTTGCCTTTGCTGGCTTCTGACTGGCTGACTCACTGCTGCTGCTGCTGCTCTCCTGCACTCCTTTGGCCTCCCTTCTTGGCCTTTTTCCACTTCTTTCTTTCTTTCTTTTTCATCGGACCCAGTCAGCTTTCAGTTGTTCTTTCTCAATTGGCATCTGGCAGCAGTTGCTCAGTCGATGACATCAAGAGCAACAATGCTTTATATAGTCAACAACAACAACAACCACATCAACAGCAGTGGCAGTGGAAGGGCAGCAGTCGCCCGGCCATCGACAGTCCATCAAATTCAGAAGTGGCTGAGTAGCTCCAGCAAGAAAAACAAAAACAGCAGCAGTTGCAACAGAGCAATTGAGCTAGCTGAGCGAAGCATCAAAGTGCATCAGTCGTCAGAGCAGCATGTAGCCAACTGCTCTAATGCAATAATTAAGTTAGCCATAACTCCTGAAACAGCGTTGATGCACTGCCACTGGGACTGACCAGAGCATGGCCGTACATGAAGTGCAGCTCATGATTGCGCTCTATGTCGATTTGCTGCAAATAATAATTCAATTGCCACTGTGAACTGTGAACTGCTGACAAGGACAACAGTGGTGTCAGCAGTGTCCAGCAGCAGTAGTGCACTACCACTGGCTCTAAATTGTCTTTCCCATCTGAATCAATTTACCTTACCACTACTGCGAGGACTATATTACTGCCTTTGCCGACAGTCCGTTTTGCGCCACCGTGTTCATTTGGCTGCATTAGGTCTCCCTCCCTCCCTNACAACAGTGGTGTCAGCAGTGTCCAGCAGCAGTAGTGCACTACCACTGGCTCTAAATTGTCTTTCCCATCTGAATCAATTTACCTTACCACTACTGCGAGGACTACATTACTGCCTTTGCCGATAGTCCGTTTTGCGCCACCGTGTTCATTTGGCTGCATTAGGTCTCCCTCCCTCCCTCCCTCTCTCTGTCTTTTCCACTTTGCCTTTGCCTTTTTCGCTTCATCAGCTCGTTCAGTGCCCCGACCACCGTCGTCCAACCGTTTTGCACATCGTCAGTTGGTGCTCGGCAATTGATCGTTTCATAGATTGAGTGCTTCTGCCGTCGCTGATGCTGCGGCTGCTGGTCGCCGTCGTCGTGGTGGTGGTGGTGGTGCCTTTGCCTAATGAAAGCCATGTCCAATGACGCGCGTTGTCTCCCACAGTGTACTGCTGTTGGTGATGCTGCCGCTGCTGAAATCACAGTGCTGGCGCATTCACTGTTGAGCACTTTGCAACCACTGGGACATACATACTCTCTCGCTCACACACACTAACTCGCACACTGTCTTTGAAAACTTTTCATTCTGCTCGCTTGTCAGCGCCACAATTGCCCGGTACAATTGGGAGCCATGTTCAGCGAGAGTATTGCGCTAATTGCCATTTTTTGCCAGCTTTCCCTCCCTCCCCTTTCTTTCTCGGCTATTGATGTGCCCATTTTGGGCGGCCGCCATTCTTCGCCTATGCCTTTGTTCTTCTCCTCCCCCCTTCCCCTCACTTTTCCATCTTCGACATCTTCAGCAGCTTGCACGCTTGCTTACCGCGCTTACGCTCCGCCATAGTCCTTCGCCGCAGTCCTCTTTGACGTAATTTCCCCAATCGAACTTTAAGTTTTGCAATTTAAGTTTTGGCCATCTCAGAGTTTCCTTCCCTCTCCTCTCTTTCCCTCTCCTTTCGACGGGTTAAGCTTCGTTGTCGTCCGTCTTCGTCTTCTTCGTCGTGCTCAGTCTGTTCCATTGTGCCGACAGTGAAGCAGTGATGTGTCAGTGGCAATGAAGCGCCTGGCGCTTGAAATGCAATTTGTTCCATGAATTCATTGCATCTGCTGCTGTTGCTGTTGCTGCTGCAGTGAAGGTACAGCGGCTCAAGTCGGCTCAAGAAGACAGCTGCTAGTCGATGCTCCCTCTTGCCCTCTCTCTTTCTCTATCCTCTACTGCTTTCTTCGACTGCTGGTGTGCTAGGACCATGTTTTCGTCATCTCGCTTCGATTTCTTGCGCCGTGTTGATTGAACCATAAATGATTTCGATTCGATTGTCCTCCTAGTCGTCCCGGCTTTCTGCTTTGTCGCCCGTCTGTTGTCCTATTGGGATGATTCGATGGTGGGATGCAGCTTTCTTCTGCCCATTCGGTGGGCAGAAAGCTGCTGCTGTTCAGCATTCGATTCAGGCACTATTTTTCCTGCATCGTATCGGCGCTGGCTCTGCCTGCTAGGCTATCTGAATTTCGGCTGCGAATTTGACTTTATACTTCTTTATACTGCTCTCACTCGGTCGCTAGTCCGCCTGGCTTCCCTTGCCCCCATCATCATCGCATTCAGTCAGTGGTGATGGTGGCGGTGGCTGTAGGGTTGCTGTGCGACATTTGCACTCTCTGCCAATGTATTCCACCAACCAGTATGCAGCCAAAGCTATCAGTGATCACTCTTCACGGGCGGCAACGAGCTTCATTTACAGGGACTGCTGATTTGCCTGCGAAATTAGTTGCCGCAATTGTTCACATTCTTCTCATCACTTCTTTCTTCCTGCTCTCTTTCTTCTTTTTTTCATCCTCGCCGTCGTCGTCGCCATCGACACTCTCTCTTATTCCCCTTTTTTCAATCTGTCTATATTGCATCGCCGAGTGGATCGGCGAGTTTGATGCGCACAGGGGAGGCTTTGATTGCGAAGGCGACGACGGCGTTGTCGGCAGCAGCATCATCAGCGACAACGGCTGGTGTCACTGGGTGAATGGAGCAATTTAGTTAATCTGCTTCTTTTACAATTTTATACTTTGTGAAACAAAATTTGGCAGTGGCGGTGGCGTCGGCGGATTGTATAATTAGTGCACGTAGCTCAAATCGAAGCCCTCTTCGACCACTCTCGTATATAGTGCGATCAGAGTGGAGCCATCTTTCTTCCTCCTTCCTCTCCGGCTCTCTCTACCCCACCACAAGCACTCGTCCACTCGTCCACAATCCTCTGGTCGCAAATGGACGCTAAGTGCACCTAAGCTTCTTTTAAATGTTTTATTTTTCTTTCTTTACAGTTTCAGACAAAAATGAATGAATGAAAGAAAGAATAGGAAAGAATAGGGAAGAATGGGAAAGAAGGGAGCCAATAAATGCACTTTGCTCAGTG